CTCCCGGACCTGCAATCGCGGCGGGCGGGGCGTCGCGTCGGGGCCTTGTTGCGTGTCCGCCCGGACCCTCCTGTCCCGCCCTGCGCAGTCGGGAGCCAGGCGCAGTCCAGACCTGGCGGGGACAGCTGCGCCCTCGGCCCGGCACCCGGACCCTGCCGCCGCCGCCTTCGCCCACCCTCGGTCCTGGCGATGGCCTTCGTGTCGCCCGATGCACTCGTGACTGACCTGGACACTGAGTATTAAGAGCTCACTTCCGTCCCCACCACAGCCGCGACGGCAGGGACACCTAGGCTCCTTAGGGCGGATCCGCTGCTTCTTTGGACTCTCTGGCTTCGGGGGCGCCATGGACCAAAGTGGGATGGAGATTCCCGTGACCCTCATCATCAAAGCGCCGAACCAGAAGTACAGTGACCAGACTATTAGCTGCTTCTTGAACTGGACAGTGGGGAAACTAAAAACGCATCTGTCCAACGTATACCCTAGCAAACCAGTAAGTGTGCAAGGCTGGGCACAGCTGCTCCGACCTGCAGGCTTTTGTGCCACGTACCTTCGCCCTGCTCACGCCTTCCTTTCGTGTGTCAAGGTGTTCTCAATTCTGAGGCTTGTGGGTGTCTTGGGAGTGTTGGAACCATCATTAGTATTTTCCTGATGAGGTTCAGTTAATTAGTAAGGGCATGCAGAAGTGTCAAGAGACATAAGAATTGATAGGTATGGACGAGGAACCATTTCCCTTGGGTTGCAAGGCAACCTAATTTGAGGATGAGATGCATTCTTTTTATTTTTATTTTTTTTAAAGAAACACTACAACCCATATTGAAACTTTTTACAGATTTCTAGACTACACTGCCGTTTTGCTGTTCAACACCTGCACCAGAAAGTTGTTTACTGTCAAGAGAATTTTTTCTTGGAAATGAGTGTGTGACTTCTATAGAAATAATGCTTTCAAAACTACTATGTGTGTTTCAGGGAGCAGAGTTACAAGTTGTCGCCACCCCTTTTTTTATTTTTCTTTTGAAGAAGACGCAGACTTTTCTTTAACTTAGAGCAGTCCTTTCGCCCCACCCACCATTTGGTACTTTTTATTCCTTTCATATTGCCGTAGGTAAAGGCCTTTACATTACCTGTTTCACCCAAGTCAGCATGATTCTATTTTCAGTTTTGAATCTTATCTAGATATTGCAAAGATAAATAAAATCAGAAAGGTGGTGTAGCTGCATTTCTTCCCAAAGTCAGACCTGAGAGGACATAGATGATAATTAAATTTCAGAATAGTATAGAAAAAAACCTTAATGTCATGTCACCACTGTTTAAAAGTTTCATTCTTCAATAACTAGTGTGCAGTTACTAAACCATATGTTTAAGTAAAGAGGTGTGGATTTTAGGGTGGGATTTTTTTGGCAACAGGCAGACTTAAGTGCATGGGTCTTTTGGACAGGAACCTGTTTTTTTGTTTGTTTGTTTTTGGTGTTCTAAGACAGGGTCTTGCTGTATATTCTAGGCTGGCCTAGAACTCCTGATCCTCCTGCCTCAGTCTCCCGAGGTGTGTGCCACCTTGCCCGGAACTGTGGTTTTTAAAAATATTAAACATTTTTATTAATACATATTTGCAGTCCATCATGATTACATTCATTGTGGGGAACTGCTGTATATACATAACACATTCAATTCTTTTTCCCCCTTCTCCTGCAACTGTGCTTGGTAGGATTTTTTATGCACTTGAGGAAGACCTTGATCTGTGTCAGGATCCTTATGAGTTAAAGAGTGATTTCAGAGTTGCCATTTGTTTTTGTTTTGTTTTGCTTTCTGTTTTTTGAGACTGAATCTCACAGTGTAGGCTAGGCTGGCCTCAAACTTGGGATTCTACCTCCAACATACCAGGATTACAGGTGTGCCACCATGCCCAGCTCATTGGTGCAGTATTAAGTTTGGTTAGTTTTGGACTTCTAGACTAACCACAGAATTAGGACACTTATTGCAAAAGTAGGAGGTTTAGAAAAACCAGTTGGTAATAGCTGTCAGCACTTTGTGATAACAGATATTTTTAGTAGGAGGAAAATTGGGCTTTTTAATTACTTGGAACAAACATATTTTGAGAGTTTTACACCATAAGTAACAATTTGTTAAAGAATTTCTGTTTACCTGAATGTTGATGCATCCCTGTAATCCTAATTACTCAGAAGGCTGAGGCAGGAAGGTTGAAAATTTGAGAACAACCCGGGCAACTTATGGAGACCTTGTCTCAAAATAAAATTTCAAAAAGGGCTGGTGGTTATAGCTCGGTGGTAGAGTGTGTGCCTAGTGTGCACCAACTGCTGGGTTCAGTTCCCATACTGGGGCAAAGAAAAACCAAAAACCCAAAAATCCAAACACCAGAAGTGCTTTGCAAAAGATTTTCTTATATTGCATGTTTTTAAATTTATGCATATTTGAAGTGGAAAGTAGCTTTTCAGAACAGTCAGAGCTGGAAGTCATAGACTTGTGTAGATAGTAATGTTTGCAGCATGGCCCATGTACCATTTGAAAGTACATTCTTAAGCAATATCTAAAAATACACTCAAGTATGAGATCCTAATGTTATGCTATTAAACCAACCCGGACCAAGAATTCCACGGTTCTAAAACTTTTCTTTTTGAAAACATATCTGAGCCGGGAGTGTGAAACTTCTTGCCTTATGTGCCCTGGGGTGAGCCTGTCTTGCGTCAGGAGGGGACAGTCAGTGCCCCTGGGGATTAGTCAGCTGCTTGCCAAACTTCTCTTTTTTGCATTCCGCTGGCCTTTGGAGACTGGAGAAACTTGGAGGTGAGATAAAATAATTTGCGTCATATTATTAATGGCTTAATCTGTGATAGACCTGATTTTTTTCTTCTTGAGTAAATTTTCTCCAACTGGGTTGTAAAATTCATTTCTAGGTTAATGAGAATGGGCTAGGACTACCTATGTTTATTGTCTTATAATTTCACTGAAATCTTTGTACAGTTACTAGATTTGACAGGTTTACCTTTATCACGTGAAATTACTTTGTAGTATCCCTGTTGTTGAGCAACTGTTTAATGGTACTCCATAGCCATAGTAGTTATTAACTTAGGTGTTAGAATCCTAGAAGTTTACCCTATAAGGTTATCTAGCATTCAGAAATTTTGCATTTAAACAATATTGTAACACAAGTTTAGGTTCTTACAACCACCCACAGTGCCTAGTTAGCACTGACTATTTCAAGTGTTGCTTGGTGTTTTGTTTTGGAACAAGGTCTTGGTTTTTTTTTTTGCCCAGGCTTTTCTTGAACTAATGGGTTCAAGCCACCCTCCTACCTCTGCCTTCTAAGTAGCTGGGACTGCCACTACTGTTCTCTGGTGTTTTGGCTGTTTTGTTTTGCAGCCAAGGATTGAACCTAGGAAGTGTACATCTGTAAATGAAAGAGGGACTCATTTATTGGCCCCCTTCCTCATAAGGAGGAGGTAGAAGAGACTATCCAGTATCATCAAACAGATCAGAGAGACCCACATTCCCCTGAGAGACAAATGGAGGTTCCAGGACAGTAATGTCTTCTTAGTTTTGGGGTCTTTCCTATGATAGTCACAGAAACCTGTACATAAGGGGTGTCATTCCACCTTTTATATTTTAAACAGTAACACTGTAACTGGGGAATAGTTTCATAGTTTGAATACCATCCCATACCCATCTTTCACCACCTCCCAGTTCATATTGAATCCAAACCATATTGCAATAGTAGGCAAGCTGTTTCTGTTATAGATGGTCAGGATCAAACCTTTCCCACTTATCAAGAATATGGCCTACTAGTGAAGTTGGTTAAATCTACACAGTGGCATAGTTCATGAGGTTTCCCATTGGCTCAGTCTGGGGCCTGTAGAGAGAAGGAGACAACTAAGTCTTGACTCCTTAAGAGGGTGTCCCATGTAAGGAGGAGGAGACCTGACGTTCCATAGAGCATCCCTTGTGACAGACTAGATAGATAATCTCTGTCCAAGAGCTGCTGGCAGCATTAAGCCCAGAAGAAATCCCCCTGGTGATTTTTGTCTCCATATTTGAACCCACTAACTCATTAGGGAGAAGTGGGGTGAAACCACTTGCTGGCCTTACCTAGTCCCTTAACTCCTGAAAGTAAGGGCGGGATCTCCCCCAAGCAGAGGTCCCTTGGCTACTGAGTTGAACCCCTTGGTGGCTTAACTTGTATTTTGAGTCCCTCGATGACTCTTCTTAACCAGAATGTAGCAATTGGGCAGTTGTCTCTTGGAAGAGTGGAGATTTGAAGTTGTCCTTTTAGGATCCCAATAAAGATAGGTCATATGTCTGTCTACACATTGTTAATGGAGTTCGGGCTAAACTCAGCAAAATCTTTAGGTTCAGGCATTTGAGTCAGATATGGGTTTGACACAGTCTCCGCATAAATATTTTAAATTTGCCGTTCCCTGAATAAACTCACAACAAATGTACTACTTCCTTCCCTACAAAGCACATTTTCTTGGACTTTGTTTATTTAGTATTTTATTAACTTGGCCTTTGAAAAACTATGCAAATTGTAAAGATGATAATAAGGTTCCTTTGCTCTTGTGAAGCTCAGGTGTAGTGCGGCAAACAGCATGGACGTAAGTGAATACTATGTAACCGGCATGGTGCAGGAGGGATGTGCTTGTGCCATGGGAGCCCAGCAGGGAGTGCTCGGCTCTGGAGTGGGGTGAGCCGAGTGTGTAGCTGTATGAGGAAAACGTGCACAGGGACATTTGCATTTCTAAAGTATTAATAACAGACAGGAGGAGGCAGGATCATAGCTTTTTGTTTTCTAGAAACTATTCTTTCAGAGTTCATGTGGCACTGATGACTAGATGCTTTGCTTTACTAGATTACTAGTAATAGAGTTCTAAGTAAAAATTGTAGATCTTCAGTGGGCTGTGGAGGGGAAGATATTTCTCTAGTTAAGAATTTAAACAGTTGCTGTATTTTTGAAAATGTTCACAAATTTTTAGACACGTCAGTAGTGGAGTTGAACTCTTTCGGGGTTAACTTTGAATGGTATTGATAATTGGATTAGGGTTTGGTTTAGGAACCAAAGTATACCACGTCAGTTAGTTATGGATAGAGATAGCTGTGATTCTTATTGTAATATGACATTGGTCATTGCGCACTTAGTAGTTTAGTTTTTCAGGTTCTGAAATTGGCCTGTAGTGTGACATAGTTACTCTGAAATTTAGGTTATTGCTGTTGAATGGCAAAGATGCCTTCAAGAAGGCCAGTTTTACTCGAGTTTTCACCTTTAACCTGGGTTTGTGCAATATTATCAGAGACTTAAATACCAATATAGTTGGTCTTAATGCTCTTCAGTAGAATGGATTATCCAAGAGAAAACTTAGCACAAATCTGCAAGTCTAGTTAGCCAGCTTCCTCATTGTCCCTTCTTGCTGCTTTTATACCAAACACTGACACATGGGCCTGACTCACCCTGAAGTCAGCATTGAGAGTGTACCTTTCTGGGGC